ATATTTATGTAACAGTCTCTATTTAAGAATTATCTTTACATTTGACGAAATTTTTCGTAATAATTTATAAATAATTATTAGGTACGTTGAGTTGTCTGTTAATATCTATGAACTAAATCAATGTTTTATTTTTGTAAAAAATTCTAATTATAAATAAGAATAACTATTTCACACTTTTTAGGAATTCTATAATAATACCTACAACTTTTTTGTCTTTATTATGTTTGCTCTACCATTAACTTACCCTTTCAGGTACACAATACATTTTCCTTAGCCTTCAGCCTTATACTTACTCAATAAATCTTTATACGCAATATTATTATAATCTTCGTATCATTGCCTTCGAAATAACAGTACTTAAAGGAACCAACATTTTTTTAATTTCTTTGCTTCTTTTATTCTTTGCAATAGTTTCAGTAGTGTCATTTATGGTTATTTTGTTCTTAGTAATATCAAGGTACTTTAGACATAGTTTTTCTAATACAAAAATATCAAATATAGCCTTATGAGACTCACTCATAGAGATTTTCAATAAATCTTTCCCCAACTCTGATAAACTATACTTATTTGTTCTATTCGATAATTTTAATTTAAAGAGAGGGAATGAATCACAAAATCCTAAAATAATCTCAGACAGTTCATCAGTAAAAGAAAGTTGTGTAGCTGCATGTAAGAAATGCCTGTAATCAAACTGACAGTTGTGAGCTACTAAGATGACCTTCTTTCCCAACGATTTCAAGAATTCCATTGTCTTTGAAAAAGCCATTTTAGGAGATACACTTGAAACTTCTTTTTCATTAAGATAAAGCTGCCTTACTATTTGAGTCAGTCCAGTAACTGCAGAAGCTGATACATCGATTGCATGCCTTGGAGTGATGTTTACCTTGAAACAGTATTTTTCACTTTTCATAGGAATTTGTAAAATGTCTTTACCCACTTTAAATCCTCAAGTCTCAAGATCGATAAAAACAAAAGCAATATCATCGGTATTATATGAGACACTATCCGAGGTTTCTGTTATAAAATTAATTTTTTCAGCACTGCCAAAAAATGCCATATTGGAGGAATGTGAAACTTCAGATTTTTCTTTTCCGTTTCGCAGTTGTTCTTTTTTTGCCGTATTACGTTTTCTTTTAGCTTTCTGTTCTGGCTGTTCATATTTTTGCTTTCTCTTCAAAGCTTTTGCATCTGTTTTCTTTATATGCTCAACTAAATTACTACTATATTTTATCCCAGCTTTGTCCATAGTATCGACAGAAAACCCTTCCCTACGATTCTTATGGGCAACTGTAACTGCAAATCGGAAATCAGATGATTGTGATTTTGATTTTGGACAGTGACTGCTCATGCTGTTATCCAAGCTCTCATTCGCTTGAGAAGAACTTGTTAATAAATATTTAACAGCATTAGCTGACAACTTATCAAAAAGCTGTTTAAGAGTTTCAAATAATATCTCACTTTTAAAATAACGACTATCATCATAATTTTCTCTATATCTCTTATAAGAACAGAAAGAGCCACAATTATCATGCCTATCAAAAATAGGGTAGGGTACATTTTTTAATGATTTTTGTATTTCTTTAATATTTCCCATATTCTTTTTTATAATGGTTGTGAAAGCATTTTTTAAATAAGCAATTGCATCGTAAGACAGTTCACCATCTGGATCTAAAGCCGCGGTCACATGAAGAGCGTAACGCGTATCGCATAACTATTTGAGCCCATAAGAGTGAGAGAGAGGTGAAATACGTGAACCTCTCTCTCACTTTCATGGGCTCAAATGGTTACGTGGTACGCGTTATACGCTCTCCATGTGCCCGCGGCCTAAGGCTTTATTTTTGCGAAGAAGATATAATTTATTGCCAACACCTTTCTTTGTGTGATTTAAATCAGATTGTTTCAGTATAGAATTATCACTGGCTTGTTGAATTGCATTCATACTAGATCTGTCGTTATCGGCAATGACCACTCCCACTTCAGCATAATTTTCCTTCAAAATCGAGCTATTGACTAACTACTGAACTGCACCAGCAGCTTCCATTGATTTAGTGGAGCCAAAGTGATTCAAACGACAATCATGTTCGATTGATCTTCCGGTTCTTTGTTTATGATCGCTTAAAATTCATTTGCGATTTTTGGTGAAATAATCTAGTACCTTACCAGAATATAATCCAATTATCACACAAAATCCATTTAGGCTGTCGTATTTATATCCATTATCCCTTTGGCTCCAACCCATATCGTAAGAAACAAAAAGTCTTACAATTTTTTTGGCGGGTTCAGTTTCACTCGGTTCAATTATAACTATAAGAAATTCTTCTTGATGCTCGATAGGTCTGAAATGGATGTAGAAAAGAATGGATTTGATGTAGTAAATGAAATAGTAGTCATTTACAAAAGTTTCATTTTGTACAGTTCAATGTATTTACTTTATGCAGGAATGATTTTATTTTAATGGATCAGCTTTATGAAATAATTATCATCAAATTTTTACATTGTATTCCATGTTAAATTCACGTAACTCAGAAAATGTTAAATAAACAATTAATAAATTAAAATACATTTTAATTGTTACATATGAGTAAAAACTGAAAATAAATGTAAATAGATTGTTTTGTTTCAATTTGTATCCAAACTTGCAGTAAAAGTAAAAATCGATTCCGATTTCGTTAAAAATGTATAAAAATTAAAAATAAATAAATAGATTCTTTCTTCTTTCTTGTATAAAAATTTTAAGTAAAAGT